ATGTTAAACCGTACTTTTATTTTGACAGGTTGCCATGAAGTTTCTGTATGTATACAGTATGATGATGCTAGTTTTCTCAAATGAAACGGTAAAATTCTCGCGAAGTGACTCTCACAGCAGCTCTGGAGATTAAGTTCATGTGTTCATGCCGTCATATAGTGAGACGCAGAGGCCGAAAATCACCGCGAGCGTGACGTCACACGTGCTTCAGTATTTGTGTAGTAAACAAAACCGCGTTTCCGCCATTCATACATACAGAGGCAAGCGGAACATGCAGGATTCATATTTAAACAGTCTTTTTGCATTTTAATATTCACAGACACTAGTTCATATCGCGATTCGAATTAAGTGGCAGTGGCTACTTCCGATTTATTCGTCCAAAATTGACGAATTCCGTGGCATTCCGCGCTATAGAGTAAATTACGTTTTAATTAATGGACTCCGCGATCCCGTCCGCATTTTCATATGGCCCTAGAAATGTAACCACACTTCAGAACATTTCGGCTTGCCCTGTGTGTTGTTTGAACGAGTTGTAGGGGTGACATCACGTCACAGGGTCTCTTCTTTCTCTCTCTGTAGCGTATGTGCCCAGATGCATTCTCAGGTACCGAAATTTGGCACCGATTGATTTAACGTGAATCGGTACTCGGTAGTACCGACGCAATTCGGTCGGTACCCTTAAAAGTACCGAGTTCGGTACCCAACCCTAGTCACAGTTCGGTACGGTTCGGTTCGGCATGTGCAATGTTTAGGGAGAAAAGGACTATGGTCAAATAAAAATAAAGAAAATAATAACAAATAATCAAACTAAATGCAACAGCACAAATAAATACAATAGAGCAAAGATACAAATAAAATAAATAATGTTTTTCAGATGTTTAACAGTAATTTTCAGGCACAGAAATTTAAAAGTAAACAAAGGTAAAATAACAGTAACAGTATTTCACTGTATAAATTAAAGACCAATCCTTGCTGAAGTTACAAAAGCTATTCAATCAAAGCACAGTGAAGTGTATTATTAAGAAGCGGAAGGTATTTGGTACAACACAGACCCTCCCTGGATCAGGACGGAAGAGCCAGGTGGACCAAGAGGCCTACAGCAACTCTGAAGCAGTTGCAGGTGTTTCAGTGTTTAACAGTAATTTTAAGGCACAAAAATTTAAAAGTAAATAAATGTAAAATAACAGTGCGTATTTCACTGTAAAAATTAAAGACCAATCCTGGTTGAAGTTACAAAAGCAATCAAGAGAAGTGAGTGATTTCCTTGTTTTTTGTTGTTTAACATTAAAAACACAGACAGCAGGAATAGACTGCGGTTCCTTTAAAGGTGACGTATTATGCCCCTTTTTACCATATGTAATATAAGTCTCTGGTGTCCCCAGAGTGTGAAGTTTCAGCTCAAAATACTCCACAGATCATTTATTCAGATCTAGTGTTGCTTTCTTCAACGAAAATTATGACTAAATATCGTCGTCAACGAACCTTTATCACGTGACGAAAACGAGATGCAACGTAAATGCTGGTCATGTGACGATGACGATAATGAAATGTATAATGCAATATTGTTGACGAATAAAAACGAGACTTAGATGAAAATAGTCATGGATAATTCTGACTAAAGTAAGACTAAAATGCTCAGACTTTTAGTTGACTAAAACTTGACTAGACTAAAAAGAGTATGAACGTGACTAAAACTAATAAAAACTAAAATGACAGCTTCACACAAAGACTAGACTAAAACTAAAATTAAAACAGGCCGCCAAAAACAACACTAAGTAGAAGCAGAAACAAGCTGTTTTTCGGGCATGTGTCTTTAAATGCAAATGAGCTGCTGCTCCCCGCCCCCTTTTCCAGATAGAGCTGTGCCATTACAGCTCGTATCTGCTAAAAACATCTGTTTTGGTTCTGATTATCATGTTTATCGCGCTGAAGTCTGTTCAGCCAAAGACAGAACAGTTAGCATGTTTCGCTCAAACTTTCGCCATGGCATTAGAGCTGGTACACCGTTGACATTTTTTGTGTTTTAGTTTGTCAGTTCAAACGCAAGTCTTGAAAGAGAAATCAATATTTGCGAAGCATGCGTTGTCTGACGAGGCTCTCCGCGTGCACACGCTATGGATGAGTGCGCACACACACACACACGCACACACATCTTCAAACAGCACGCGAGAGTTCTCAAGTGCTTATTCTTTGCTTGCATGTTTCAATTGTCAAGGCTTTAAAAACAAGCGTTTGAGTTTAGTTCAAACACGCTCGCGCACTTTCAAAACCCAGGGGACGAAGGCGTAAATGACTGTTATACTAGTATGAATAAGGCTTTCCGTGTTGTCTGTCCACTTTTTTATCATTGCTTTTGTAATGTGGGAAGCCAATAGGTCTGTTTTACACATTTATTTTTTTTTCCAGATTTCATATTTGAGATGAACCGTGGTGTAAGTGGGGTCAACCTCAAGTGGGCCAGGGCTCTGGGGGGGCGGGGGCGGACATCGTGGGTGGTGTATCACAGTTTTTCCGTTCGGTTTGAATATCGTTACACCCCTACCTAGCATTGTGGCAGAGTTGTACAAATGAGCACAAAGTATGCCTAGGTAATATGTCAAATATTCACTACACATTATATACTAACGTCTTTTTAAAGAAATTGATAATTTTATTCAGCAAGGATGCATTAAACTGATCAAAAGTGACAGTAAAGACAGTTATAATATTACAAATGATTTATATTTCAAATAAATGCTGTTTTTTTTTAATGTTCCATTCATCAAAGAATCCTGAAAAAAAAAATGCATCAGTAGTGTTTTCAACACTGATAATGATATAAGTTTCTTGAGCACCAAATCAGCATACTAGAGTGATTTCTAAAGGATCATGTGACATTTTAAACTGGAGTAATGACTAGAGGTCGACCGATTGATCGGCCAATTTCTGGCATTTTTTAATTAATCGCATCGGTCGATTGTGCTGCAAATTAGGCCGATTTATAGGCAGGTGCATCTGCGGGCAGCTAAGCATTGTTGTGGAACGCCGGAGAATCTCTCTCTGGCTGCGTGAGAGAAGGAGCAACTCACACTCTGCAGCCGGTTCTTGTTCACACACAGCTTCAGCTAATGATGGCAGAGCAAAACAGACCGTTTCGAAAGTGTAATTACGTTTTACCCTACTAGAATTGATGCCGGAAAGTTATCATATTCATAAGTGCAACAAGTCATTTGCATGTGAAAGTAGAAACACATGCAATTCAGACGAAACTTCTGGGCTGATTATAACGTGCACATTAAACTTTCCTCATGAAATGTGTGTGTAGGTCCGACAATAGCACCCACGATGTCATCGCTTGTGGCCAGTGCACTCTAAGCCGTTATGAGCAGCGGGCTGTGTAATACAGTGGTGTGAAAAAGTGTTGGCCCCCTTCCTGATTTCTTATTTTTTTGCATGTTTGTCTCAGAACTAAAATGCAGCGCGGGTGTTTTTATATGAATGTATCTTTGAAAAGAACCGGCTGTCTTCAGAAAAGCTTCAATGTCATTTTCATTTTGTCTTTCCTGTAATGCCTGATAAAGTAGCGTTTGTGACTGTGAGCGCAGTGCTTATTAGATTACAGCCATTACCGGGGAAACCACTATATCTCCCGCTCCAGCAGCGCCTCCTGCTGGCAGAGAATTAATTTGCAGTCTGTGGGAAACTGGTGTCTGTCAGCAAACATAAACAAAAAGCGTGCTTCAGAACTGTTTTGAGAAGGTGCTTAAGTTTTGAGCCATGTATTATTACTCTGAATTAGGCTACTACTACTATTACTATCTTGTACCCTGCAATAATCATTTACTCAAACTCACTTTTATGAGATGAAGGGGGGAAAAAAAGAAAATCTGCCAAAATATATCGGCCCAAAAAATCTGCATCATATATCCGCCATCGGCTGCCCTAATTTCTAAATATCGGCATCGGCCAGTGAAAAACCCATATCGGTCGACCTCTAGTAATGACTGCTGAAAATTCAGCTGTGATCAAATAAATGCAGTCCTGGTGAGCATAAAAGACTTCTTTAAATTACATACACACACACACTGCATACACACATGTACACTATATAATGCTAATTTTATGATCCTTGAATCAATTCAATGTGTCAGTGTCAAAATTCTGATTCAAAAATGTATTTGACTCATTACAAAAATTTTTTTTTTTAATGTTTAAGATAACAAATGTATGTAAATATTACTGCTTATTAATGTACTGTTGTAGTGCTGCATATAAAATAAAAATGATTACACAGCCTATTGTTTTTCTTCTGTTCATTTAATGAAAAAGTCTGGAAAACATTGCCTTTATTAAACTGCTAAAAATAATTGGCATAAATATTGAATTATATACCGAATATTACTGAAAGGCTAAAAAAATATGAAAAAATAAAAATAAAGCCCTGCCAAACAATATAAAAATGTAATTTCTTCAATGTTCCTTCTCTCCATGTGCAGATCTGAGTGAGTACAGAGGGAGTCATTCATTGCTCATTAGCTTTCTTCCATTCATGTTCTGGGCGTATATCTGCTGGATCTGGGTCACATTTCAACATCGGGGTGGGTGGCCGCATATGACTCATTTATCAGAAAAAGCAAGCCGTGTTCGAATGCTTAGTGGCAGTGCAGTTCAGTTCAGCACGAGCAGAAATGCCATCTACACCTGTGTGCAAACACCTGAGATGGGAAGATCAACTTCCATTAAGGATATGCAGTGCATGTGTGGGTGAGAAAGAGGCAGAGAAAGGGAAGAGCGTTAAAGAGACGAGAGGTGTGTGAAAGGAAGCGAGTATTTACCTTTGGCGCCGAGACACAGAATCTGACCCTAGCAAAAAATACGTCCTCACTGGTCATAGATCACATACAGCTCAGGCTATAAACACACAACTGTACCACAGGAGGGAAAGGCAGCACTAGAGAGTTCAACTATTGTTTTTATGACAGCCAACATCTGACACGTCGGCAAGTGACAAACACTCTCACAATTTGCTCTGTCACCGCAAATACACAGTAATTCACACTAAGACTCATTATAGTATGTAATTAGCACCAGAGACGTTTGTCTTGTGTAAGAACTGTTTCATGCCTTTATGCAGAAACAACAAATTCAGTTAGGAATTATAGGGTAACCATGACTCAAATTGTCCTACAAAAGCTGTGCATATAAACATTCATGACAAGATTAAAGTAAGACACCTTAACAACTGCAAAAGGAAAAACAAACAAGCTATCTCGCGAAATTATTTGTCTTAAAACTGGGTCAAAGGCCACGAGATACAGATTTTCCTCAGAGAAGTCGAAATATTCAGTGCTAAGGCCAAAACAATCACACGCCAAACCTTCATGTGTATTCAGTGGCACGTCTTTTCTTATTAACATCATGCACATAATGCAGACAGCACTGTTTATGAAATTCAACTCGGCTTTGTGCACTTGTCAGACAATTTTCAAGGTTCATATCTTGAAGACCTCACTACAGTGAGGGGGCCCTTTTAATTTAACAGATGTGTGAAAGGATTTCTTGGAAAGAGCAGGGTAGATCCAACGGCAATATCCTGGCAAGCTGCTTTTGACAGTACAAAGAAAAAGATTCTCTGCAGTAGACATAAGTAGTGCATGCCTGCGCAAAAGATGCAAAAAAAAAAAAAAAGGTGAAAAAAAAGTTCTACTGAAATATCTTCTTTTATATTCTAAGTCATACAGGTTTAGAATAGGGATGTGCGAGACTAGTTGACTAAACGATACTGCTGCTACTAGTCAACACTGAAAATACTAGTCTTTTTTCCACTATCTTTTTTGTACAATTATGTTTTGATTTATAGTTTTACAAAGACATTCAAATTACTGTCATGTTAATGTTACATTGTAAATTCAATACTGTGATAAGCGGGACGAAGCCAAGAGCTCTGGGAGTGGAGCAAGAACATTATTTTGAAAAGAGTGAAATCTGAAAACATAATTTAATTCAGGTTCACACACTCCGTCTGTGGTGCGTATTTTTTCAGCGCCATGTTAACGGATCAGAGCGTTCACACTGCACGCGATTGCGCTCCAGGAGCGGTGCGTCTGCAGCAGTCATGCTGCGATCGTTTCCGCACAGAATCTATTTCTGTTGTGCTGCACGTGCTGAAAGTGACAGCGCATTATTCGCGGTAAAAAATAACATGTTCTTTTGGAAATATGTTTCAAATTCACACTGAATGCATTTATGACTGTAAAGCATGTCTGTGTGTGTCAAAATCGTGATTAAAATCGAAATCGCAAAATTGATCAAAGAAATCGCGATAGGTTTTTTTGTCCATATCGCACAGCCCTACAATCATGTGTACAGATATTTTTCAAGCTCAAACACACAAGCAGTTGCCGTGGTAACGAACAACAATACCTTATAACTTCTGTTAACTAAGGCTACATTTACACTAGTTTCATTTTAAAATGCATAACTTTTGCTACTATTACTCCTGCCGTTTACACGACTCTGGCTTTTCGACCCTCGAAAACAGAGACTTTCGAAAACGCTGCAGACCCCGTTTTAGTTTGAAAACTCCGGGGTTGTGTTTCAGTGTAAACTGAGACTTTTGAAAACGATGGCGTGGCTGAACACATTCGCTCTGCGTATCCTTGACGACCGTGTAAACAATAACATCATGCTCATTGATGTACCTGCATGAATGGTCATGTGACATGCATTTTCGGTTGTGTAGTGTGGATGGAGATAGTTTCTGAAATGCAGTGAAAAAGCCAGTGTAGACTAGGAACGTTTTCATTTTAAAACGCAGTTTTAAAATGAAAACGCATTAGTGTAAACGTAGCCTAACTTTCTTTCTAAAATTCTGTTTATAAAATTGAGTTTGTACTTATTGGTCCTGCACTACCTATTGATATGTCTGTCCTGGCTAACGTTCATTTAGGGGCAGTTCTGCATCTTTTGTGCGCTCAAGTTCGTTATTTCAAAGCGTCTACACCGCAAACAACTAAACTTTTCAGAGTGCCGCAAGCGCACCGTGCATCATGTCACAAGACCCAACCAATCAGCTTCACCCTTTCTGTAACAACAGTGAAAACTCAGCCCAGATGTAGGAACAGCTGATCATAGCTGTATAGGGATACCCATTTTTAACCCTTTCGCACGTGAGTTTAAAATATTCTAGCTGAGCCCCCAGCGTGAGTTAGGTCTCCGGTAAACTGGGAGAAGAGCAGAGTAAACTTTATAGTTACCTACACAATCTGTATATGATATCAATAAAAACATGTCGTCAGATTATATTTGTAAGGATCATTATTGCCGCTTCCATAGACATCCAATAGACATAGACAGCGTGCATTTTACAAACTGTAAATGTATGGTTTTGCTAGTACTTATGTGTATTTAAATGTCTGAAACCTAAAATAAGTATTATATGGTTGAAAACAATGAATATTTGTGATAACATGACAAGTGCTCAGAGCGTCCAATCTGGCTCTGCGCCAGGCAAAGCGCGAAAGCGGATTTAAATTCAGCAGTTGACGACGAGACGCACTGAAAGTTCTAATCACACCGGTGTGATCGTACGCTTCAGGGACCAGCCAAGACTGATCACACCGGTGTGATCGTACGTGTCAAAGGGTTAAATTAATCTAGTAGCAGAGCTACAGCAAGTGATTTTTGGAACTGGAAATTAATTTATTCTTAGCTAAAACTTCCACGTTTTCATGGAGAGCGCAGCTTATTGCTGCTTAGCAATGGCAGGTGCCACGGGAGTGCAAGCTCCCGAGCGCTTTGGAAAGAAAGAGAAAGTTGTGCGGCTGCCATTTTCCAAGCGTTTTTAGACACGACATGTGAACGGCCCCTAAATGAACGCTTAAAAGTGCAGCGAGTGATTTCTGAGAAACGCTGTTGATATCTGAAATCACTGAAACAAACACGCCCCTACCGAAAAGGATCACACCCCAATCCTGATAGCTCCACCCCCAAATTCGTGAACATGTTATGCAATACAGGCAACTCCCCCATCATGAGTGGACACGCCCCTTACTGGTGATTAGCTACAAGCGTGTTTTGGTGCATGGTCCGATGCACTTTCAATAGCATTTCTCTGAAACCACTGACTGCACCTTTAATGTACAATGATCATAATGAAAGGGAAGCACATCGCATGTACAGTATATGACCTGTTTGTCTGTGGCAAGTTTGATATTTGCTTTAAATGGAACGTTTACATAGACTGGTTATTAAATGTGTGGGGGTTTGTTATATACACAGTCAAAAAAGTAAATGTTGTCATAGAATTTTACTGTTGATGTAACTGACACAAGAGGGAACAAACACTTTTGTGTTTAGCATGGTCATCAGCCAATTTCAAATAATCACATTAAAGGGGTCATATGATGCGATTTCAATTTTTCCTTTCTCGATACCGATATATCGGCGACAGGCTCATATCGGCAAAACGATATATCGGTCGGGCTCTAGTAATAATCGACGCATTTCAGAAAGGCGGGGCATAGAGGAGAAACAATAATGTACAGTATGTGGAAAATAATGTGTTTTTTGAACCTTAAACCGCATAAACACATTTCATTACACCAAATACACAAAATAATGTTCTTTTTAGCAACATCATATGACTCCTTTAACAGTTGATTAATGGGCCTGGCCCGATACATCAGCACTGCACTGTCAAGCCAAAGAAACAACAGAAGCAGGATGACTCTCAAACACAGGCAAGAATGCAACATTAGATCTTTGTTCAACAGGTTAAGATTGATGACCCTCACAGCGTCTTCCTATCTATTTCTGTCCATTTTTTTTCTTTGAGTAATTCCTGTCAGATCTGTGCTTGTGTGATTCATCATTAGGAATATCTTATTTTCCTAGCTGACCTGCAGAGTGGTAACCTGCACACAGATACCTAAACACATCGCTCAAACTACACCTCACATGTGAAGACTAGACTAATTCTTTACTTACGGGCCTCTCTGCCAAAGCAACTTGAGACCAATGAACACCTCCTGTCCAAACAATGCATAATTCCAGAGTAAGGCGTTGTTTTATAGCGGGATGTTCTGTACTTCTTCAACTGTAATATTTCCCAGCCTGTCAGAGTCATTTAAATGCTTCATCAAAATAGTGAAAAGGAATTACAATAAAGTTTGGATGACCCTTTGTAAGTTATGTGTGAACACTACAAAACAGACTAGTGGTCTACTACATATGCACCTGCGTTCATTCAGAGGCCTTCATTTATTCCAACATTCTTTGGTTATGAAGTTACTTCTGAGTGGATTAATTTGATTTTCTTTCCCTTCAATCAATACCCAGTGCCACGTTAAGATACACATAAAAACATTTTATCAGTTCACCTAAAAATGAAAATCATGAAGGTGATTAAATAATGACAGAAGTTAATTTTTTTGGTGAACTATGAAAACTGAAAAACCCTCCTTTACATTAGATTTCAGACCATTTACTTAAAAAAATAAACTAAATTTCTTTCTCAAAAACTTGTGTAATGTGCTTGTTATAAATTCACTGTGCTGTATTTAGAAAGGCACATGACTACAGGAGGTGTCACAGTTCATGACAGGGCAAAACCAAGCCATGAACTCTCAGTAGAACCCTAAGGTTTTCTCAACTTTGAAAAGAATATAAAATTAACATTGAAGACTCTGAGGTGAGGAAGCCCCCGATGGCCCCTCATAGCTCGCGAGTTACTGTGCAGAGTTAGAAAAACATCTTAGAAGGACAATCAAGTCTTTAAGCAAGGACTGAGAGACTGGCTCAACATCAC